TGTCCTCATCATTGAGGTTCCTAGGAGGCTGACAGGTGAAGTCGCCCTCGCGAATGCAACACGGCAGGTTGCACTGCATGGACATGTGTACGTCAAGTTCGAGTATCGTGTACCACAGCTTTCTCCTTTGCTCAGCCCAGAAGGGCGATATCTTCTGTGCGAATTCAGAGGGGTCTCGGTGAAAACCCATGGTCATGGCCATTCGCACGATAAGACCGAGATGCGTCCATGATTCCTGATTCTGCGGGTTAATCATCCTCTGAGCCATGAGCTGGAGAATCTCAGCTTGGAGCGTGCTAAATTCGACCAGTTGCTTTCCACGGAGACTGTCGAGCCATGTTCTGACAAGAGAGCTGGCTGTTGGGATGTGAATCCCTTCTCGATCGGGATATTGCCCTTTGCCCGCGCCGACATACCGATAACCAACACATAATATCGAGAGAAGTTGAGGTAGAAAGGCGTCGGGTTGAGTTTGACCTTCCCAGTACTGATTGTACTGTCGCATAAAGGTGGGAATATGCAGGACACGGTAAATAGTCTCAGATCCATGCAGATAGACATCGAGAAGGGCGTCGCACACGGCCCTACTTGGTAGAACATCGGCCATCCGCTTCTGAATCGGGGTCATCGAGTCCACAAACACGGTGATTGGGGCAGTAGCTTTGCGATGTTCATCCTGAAGAGCCTTGTGGATCTTCTGGATGTTCATGAACATTTCCCTGATATCGCTAGACTTGTTCCTGGCGAACATGAAGTCTTTCGCCTCATCGAACTGTAATTGAGTTAGTCGACGGATATGAGATTTCAATTCGGACTTCAAGGAATGAGATGCAACTCACGAGGTTGACGAGAACGCGCGTGCTCATTTGGCCGAAGAAGCGCGTTCGCAACCCTCCTTTCACCGTCAACCCGCGAATCGTGAGCGAAGACGCAGCGGGACGTTGCGCCGGCGCGCTGCTAGACTCTGCTATAGACGACGTCCGCGAGAGCAGCTGATTCTCCAGGCGCTCAAGGCGATTCGCATGCTCCTCGAGCACGGCAGCGTAATTAGAATTAGAGCTAGTATCGCGCTGGATAGAATCCTGGCTGGCAGCGGCGCGGTTCCGTTTAACAGTCCTCTCGGGGGTGTCGGCGTCCGAGCCATCGCTGAGGCTGACGACCTCGCCCTCGGCCGCGTAGCGACATTGGCGCTGCGCCTTCTGGCACTGCGAGCACGGCGAGGCGCGGTCGCATCTCAGTTTCCTCTTCCGGCACTCGAGGCAGCTCTTGACGGGGCGCGGGCGCTTCACACTCCGGGACGGTGCTACGAAGCTGTAGACGGGGCTCTTAGCGCTGCTGTGGACCGACGCCGGCGACTTCCCGTTGTCCATTGGGGGTTTCGTATGTTGTGCAACCAAGACCAACGGTATGTTCACCAACGTAGCGCAAGAACTTGAAACGATAAGCTAAGCGAGCCGGTTCATGGAGGGGAGCGAGGCCGGGCTAGTCCAGACCATGACGGACGTGTTGGATGGCGGTCAGTATGTCTGGATGCTTTCAACCGAACGGAACATCTGGCTTGACCGACTACCTAACTACCTAGGACCTACAGATTCCCGTCGGGCGTAACGCAATGTAATCACGGGATTACGCGGAGAATATTATTACAATGATGAGGGAAATTATTAAAAAACCGAAGCGTCGAGTTCTTGGGAGGATCCAAGCTAGTCAAGCCCATCATCAAACCACCTAGCCTAAGCCATGTCGGTGTTAGGCCATGGAAAGGTACGCCCACTATGGAGTCATGGGCCGTTCAGGGAATATTTTTTATCGACAATTTCCACTTCCTATCAACACAGGTATATTTTTTGTTTTTTACATGCCCGCATGCCGACCTAGGACAAGTCTAGAACTTCAACCGGAACATATAAGCATGCCACGTGATCAGATCCTAGTCTTTGACACATTTGTTCCTCCATCCTTGGGGTCCTTGTCCTTGGGGATCCATAGGACGCCAAGAATTCTTCACGAACGAAGGCAGCCAAAGAGGCCACAGAAGCCAAACAATGCCCCCTGGTCCCCCTCTGTCCGGCAGTCTCGCTAGTCTCGGCCGGTTCGGGCGTAGTCCTAAAACGTACACAAACGTTGGAGGTGCCAAGGCTCATCATCATTTCCGAGAAGATGGTCATGGCTTTGTGTTTTGATGATCATGACGACCCTACGCTGTTTCACCATTCTTTGGGGACATCAAATTAATTAGGTTGCAGTATGCCTTGGCCGACACCAGCCTATTGATGCATGCACAGATCACTTCATGGCCGCAATAAGTATATCGCCCGACCGTCCGTGCGATTTCATCGGATGTAGCCAGCAGCTCGCAGGTATACATAAATGTCATGAAGAAAGATGACCTGATAATGGGCAAAGGAATATATTAGTAGCATGCAATGACGCTACCATAGCATCCAAACTGGATACAGCTAACCTGACGCTAATTCGCTATCCTATGAATGGGATACCGAATCGGGAAAGAAGCGCGAATACGTGCTCCACGAAGGCGGTTATTTATCATGAGAAAGCTTGGCCAGCAAGGCTAACAAGGCGAACTCGATGCTACCGTTTAGGTAGTCCACTCGGCATTTGAACCTCTTATACCGTAGCATCGGGTCGTACACATTCTTACGTCTGGGTCGAATATGTCTTGGTATTAATCCACGAATAGCCTAGTGTTTATCAAACAAGGGAGAATAGCATTTCACTATTCTTTATTCGCACTCTCCACCCGTACCAATCCAGCCTCGTCCCGATCAGCCGGGCATCACAAAGCTGGGGTAGCTTGAGGAACTGCTGGTGATGCCGCCCTTGCTGCAACTACAAGGGTAGTCGGCGCAGCCGCAACAGCCGTGGCTGGCGTTGTGACTGCAGCGTTAACATGTGCCGCCGCAGTAAACGCGTAAACGCCCGTGGCTGTGGCAGTGATTGGGCCCGGTTTAGTCTGGCTAACCGGAAGCGCTCCGCTATACAAGGCGGGCTACGAGATGTCAGTTTCGTTTCATATTAGGTACCTAATAAACACGGACGGCACATTCCGCGGAACTAGGCCTAACTTACACCGGGGATCACGTAAGAGGTCGGGTGCGAGAACAAATCGAACTTGATACCGGGGTCGTTCGCCTTGTAGAACTGGGTCGCGGGGATGCCGGCGGGGCTCGCAGTGCCCTTGCTGTCGATGGCAAGATTGAAACAGAAAGGGTAGGCCTGGGCACCGTTGGCGTTGCCGGCCGCGTGGAGGGCAATGATCTCGTGACGCAGCACGTAATTGCCTGGAGCGATGTCCTCGGGGATCCGGATCAGCCAGCTGTTATTGTTGTTAGTGAGGACGTTAGCCGCCCACAGGTCGCTGGCCTTGTCTATCCAGCCAGCCTCGCCAATCTTGAAGAAATTAAGCTTAGTCTTATCGGCAGTTTCCTATGGGGATGGTCAGTCCATTACTAATGATACGTAAAGTCTTGGGATGGGTAACTTACGCAGGGTCCACTGCACTTGGCGAGATAGTCGAGAACGGGTCCCTTGTGGGATAGCGGCCACGGCGTCCACTGCACCTCGATGATATCTCCTCCTTTCACTGGAGCAGCCGCACCCGCCGGCTTGGCCCCCAAGTGGCATACCATATCGGGGGTGCTGAACTTGTCAGGGGAGATGAAGGTATTCCTGCATTGTTCAAGATTAACTAGGCCTAACTTATGGTCATGTCATGTATGATAGCAAGTACATACTGCAAATCATCTGGGACCGACCATCCTACCACGGTAGGAGGTGGGTTCTTCCACTGGTAGCTTGGGTTGTAGCCATCGTAGCTATATTCAAGCGTCAGTCGTATAGATCCACTATGGGTGCCAAGAGTCTTCTTAGCTTACAAAGTGCTATCTATCACGATGGCACTCGCGATGCCGTGAGCCTGTACGCCGACTGCTGAGAGCAGAGCGGGAAGAATAATAGAAGGCAGTAAGCCAGAAGGCGCCATTGTTGTATGAGATCGTCACTGCGAGCTGAAGGATCTACACTCTACGGTTGGAAGCTGAGCACACACGCATGGTCCTATCCCCAAGGCTTATAAATATCTGAGCTCGAAGGATAGCCCAACACCACGGCGAGGGTTCGGCGAGCTTCTCAAGAGCTCATGCAATGGAGTGTTCTTCATAACGAGCTCCAATCACGCGAGTTTGTAGCTCCGTCGCCTAGTTCTCGACTCTAGAACCCGCGTCATGTTCCAATATCAAGAGTTACCGAGCCAATGGTGGCATTATGTCCATATCAACTTGTCGTTTTCTCGCAGCTAGAATTTGCATCCCCCACAGCATTTGTCATGAAGTCCGGGACTTCTGTACCCGAAGCGGCCACTGGTCTTGACCCCATGGGGTTCATCCGCGGGAAGGTTCCTCTCGGGTGAGTGATTATATGATCTTGTCTTGATCAAGCTTTCCGTCAAGCCGGCGGCTATATTCGATTGACAGGGAGGGTGGCCACACTCAGGTTTCCGAGTCATAACCCTATCTGCCTTGATCCTAATGATAGTCTCTTCAACTGGACAGAGCAAGCGGAGTGACGTTCGTTAGCTTTTTTAGTTTCTCCTAAGTATTTGAGAAATATGGACGCTTTAGTTCATAGACGCTGCGTATATTCGTGAGTATGTGCTGTACGAAGGGCTCGTTATACGTTGCAAACGAGTAACACATAGAAATGATCTTTTAGAGGCGCCTCGAATAATGAATGTTTCACACAATCTCAGAATTGCCCTTTCGAAATTCGCTTGCAAGATACCCGAATGATAAGTTCATGCTCATAAGCTCTCATCTCGGAGTTGTAAAAGCGGGGATTCAGGTGAGCAAATGTTGGAAACCTCTTTACGACCAGCCAAACAACTACATGTATAGAGAGAAAAAAAAATGGTAAAGTGTCGCTTCTTATCGTAACACGATTCAAAAAGAAATAGCAACCCAAATCGCAAAAGAAAAGATATGCTCTCGATCGGGGAATCGAACCCCGGCCACCTGCGGCTTGTCGGATGATGACAAGCAGGTATCCTGACCACTAGACCAATCGAGATGTAGACACCCTTAGGGCGCCGATTTTCTCTAGTGCTGAGCTGTGACAAATTGTGGCAATTATGACTATATATAGGCTTCAATTTCGGAAAATTTGTACGCATACGTTCTAGAGCCAGGCAGCGAATTTTACTCCGTTTGAGGCGTTTCCATACTGCATTAGGTAATTTCCAAGTCTTGCTTATTCCTCTTTTTCCCCTTCTATAGCTGTCCATTGTATTAGGTATTAGAAGCCCATGTAGGTACTTTTGCTTCCTAGGAAGTTACTAGTAGATCGAAGTATCATTCTACAAAAAGTGAACCATCAACACACCCCGACACCAGAAAGCGAGGCTTAATATATATGATCCTTGGGTACAGTGTCGGAAGAGGAGAGAGGCTAGGTATGGTGAAACCACGCTTCGATCAATGCGGCCGTTGATTTCCCGTGGACCGGCCTCAATCTCCGATCTCGCCGCAGCAATATCATGCTGCGCAAGCCTGACCCGGGAACTGAGCAAGACAGCCGTCGGCCACTACAATATTAGAATTCCATACGTGTAGTTTAACAGAACAACACAGGATTGCTTAAGAGTCAAGAAGGCCGGGACTACAAGAGAGGCTTGCGCGGGAGGTTTGCCGGTACGGCGTAATACCTTCGTGATAGCTGGAGCATCGTGTTAGTAGACACGCGAGAAATCAACAACACATTGTGCCCTCTGCCACCATCGCACTAAACAGGAGCTTTCGAGCACGTTCAAGACAAGTTAGTACGTAGGAGACAATAAAATTCATCAAATTGCCTCAAAGACATTCTAATTCATTGCGTAAGTGCATATATAAATCAATCCATGCTAGGCTATAAATCCCAGGCTCGACTTCGCATTTCTCAAGTCAAGTCCCGTCCGGATCTCTCATGATCGCTCATCATAAAGGGGACAAAGGGAAACGGCATAATACGTGAGTTAAGGAGAACCGGCACTTCTCCCTTCCTCTCGTTAAGAAACATTTACTCCTCTCTCCCTTCTCTCCTCGGAGGATATCCCAATCCCGCTATCCTACCCGCGATCGAGAACCGCTTATTCGGTGATATCGATACTCCGCGCCTCGCCGTCGACGGAGCCCGAGTTCACCTTCTTGCCGGTCTTCTTGATGGTCTTGAGGACGGTTTCGTAGTCGAGGCCGGGCTTGGCCACGACGACGGCTTCCTGCTTGTCGAGGGAGACTTCGTAGCTCTGGACACCTGTTATTGCGCTATGGTTAGCAACCAAATCTACTCTCTCAACAGCCGCGCCCGATCGCGCACAAGAGAGCGTAACACGGAGGAGGGGAAGGCGTCGGAGAATGGAAGGATAACTCACCCTCGAGCTTGCCGAGCACACGGTTGACAGCGCCGGAGCAGCCGCCGCAGCTCATGCTGACGTTGAACTTGTAAGTGTGCTCCTGGTCGGCCATTGCGAAAAAGTGTCCGTCTACGGTTTGCGATATACGGTTGCGATTTGGGAAAATGAGGGGTGGTAGATATGCGAAAGTGTACTTTGGCGGGGTAAAAAAGTGAAGAACGTTAGTTGAATCTGGTAGAACGTAAATAGATTGGCTGTCTATCGTTTTTATGTATGATCAATGCGGAAGCACCAGACCCGGAAAGAGGACAACTATGGCTGTTAAATACCTAAGTCGCTCGGGTATGGTGGCACGGAGTCTCGAAGTATGTTTGTATTAATAATTTGTGATCAAGAGGAGAGAGTCGGAGAGAGTTACTGATTCCCACATATGGATACATCCATGTACCTGTAGCGAGCGCTGTACCTGCCTACATGTAGCTCATCCAATACGTGTACCTGCACTAATCGAGCTGTTACAGAGGTGGTAGCGGGATTAATAACGACTTGTCACCCCGCCTTCCGGGTTTCCGCAACAGATTTTACGCACAAAGGACGCAACAAAGTACATTACAGTGCGGCGCATTATCTTACTTTGGCCTACACGTTGTATTACAGCTACCTAGCTAGGTATTCTGCTATACAAAGACACTTTAAAATACAGTTTATATACTGTGAAGGTACCAGTGACGAGTATGATCCTCTGTCTCGCGTGCTATGGCCAACAAAGAACGCCAGACCCAAGCTGTTGTAATATGAAACCTGAGCAAGTTTCCCCATTAGCCCCCTTTTCTTTTCATCCAGACATGAAACTTTGCCTTGACTGTCGCACGTTTGACTGCGAAAAACTTGCTCACCAATAAATCAGAAGTCTGAACCATAGGAGACGGCAACGTTCAATTACACCCAGTACGTATGAGTTGTGTAGCTCGAGGCATCTGATGATTATAGGCTCATGTTTCGAATGGGTCTCTGTTAGGTACACACACTGATAATACAGGGGTCTGCAACTCCGTAGCCAAAGTTAGAAACTCATCCTATGCAATCCATTGCCTCATGATCTACGTTCCCCCCCTTGTCGCATGGCTTTCCTGCAGGAACCGTCGTGGTGGCAAGGTGGATGGCATATTAGCTATAACTAGCCGTTGGGCGCTTATGCATCAAATTCAGATATCAGATCTCTTCGTCACTGGTTACCACGTCCGCCGCTGAGAGTAACCTTTTTTTTTCAGGCACGCTATTGCAATTAGAGCAAACCCACGTAATGACTTGTGTAAGTGTCATACGTCAGTTGTTAGGCCCATAGCAGCCGACTTTGTAATACCAGATTCACTGTAGTTCTGGCATATCATCATCAGTGTCATCGCCACGATTATGCCGGCCGTTTGCAGGCGCCGTAACATCATTGTCCTCTTCCGCAGGTATTAAGGGTGGCATATCATCTTCTGTAGATTCGTCGTCGGGCCATCCTCCAGGCATACCATCTGTGGTAACATCACGGAGTTCGCTAGCCGCGTTGCCCGTGCTAACCATGTCGATGATATCGTGGTAGAATCCTAGCAATATATTCAAGTTTCCGTCTCGAATTCCATCCGATTCACCATCGTCCTCATCCTCCTCGCTATCATGATCCTCATCGTTCTCATGGAGATCGGCATGTATTGCGTCGAATGTTTCGAGTGCCTGCTCAACCCGTCGAATGTCCATTGGTGCATCAGCTAGTCTCGCCTGAGCCAACAACTGTTGAAGTTCTCGGCGTTCTCCTCGTAGCCTAGCACTTGTGTTTTCCTCGTCTAACGGGGGATTGAAGGGTCGTTTCTGCGACTCGTACGAGAAGATATTCTCGGTCAAAGGAGGTGGAAGCGGGTCGAATTCCCAGTTTTCTGACGTGTTCAGGAGATTGCGCGGTATCAAACCTATTAGAGAAGGGACCTCTAACAAGTAAACGAATCGTGCTAGGTTAACCTTCGCTAAAGGAGGGAATGGGAATATCTTGGGGCCGTCTACCCTCTTCGCTTCACTTGCCGCTTCCTTCAGTAAAGATATAGCTTGTGCATTATCCCATAGCCCTTTCGTCTGGTGGATATAAAGGTTCGTGTGAAGCTGCTCCTCCTCGGTTCGTGGCTGGATTCCCCATATAGCTTTAGGAACGTCTAGGTTAAGTGATTTGAAAAGATGGCTATAAAGCCAAGGCAGATGTTCCATGCCCTCAACCAATAATGCCTTAGCACCTGCTGTGTCTTTCTGTTGTAATTTAGCTAGAACCAGAGTCTGCCTGATGTAATCCGAAGCCTCCTGAACCGTTGGTTTCGCATACAGGAGCTCTGAATCGCATAGTTCGATGAACCACTTCGATTCGTGCGCCCTAATGGCGAGCGGATGGATGTAGTGGATAATTCCATAGGGGTCGCTATGGTTTACACTTAACAGTAACTTCGCCCATTCCAGCGCAGTCCTGTAAGTCCCCTTCATGATCAAATTCTTGAGATAATGGTACCCAGCCAGCCAAAACTGTCGATTTTCCGGTCTCTTGAAAGAAAGACTCGCTTTCCCCTGTTCTATCTTATTTCGAAAAGACGATATTGAGACCCGACCAAAGGTGAAGAGTGCTCGTTCGCATAGATCGGCAGAAAGCGCGGAATTCTGGTCCTGCTTTGCGATTCTACTGGCCTGAATCAAGCTAGAAATATGGTATGGGTGTAGGTGTAGAAAATGTACTATGCTCATGGGATTGTACGTCCGGACGAGATCGAAGAATCTCATTTCCAACATATTGTACTTATCATCGTGGGCAAAGCGGAACTCGATAGAACCAGGCTTGTCTGCCCATTCTCCCTCCTTATCCTTTAGCTGCTCCATCGTGAGTCCCTCCGTAGAAGCGCGTGGCCAGGTCTCTTTCCCAGCCAAGAAGGGATTCCGCCGCAATGTAACTTCCGGCAAGCTCTTTCCAGGTTCTCCTTTGAGGTACGTCTCCAGGTCTACTTGTTGTGCCAAAGCTTGTCGCTGTCGCCTGGAGCGCGTTTGCTCTTGGTCCTCCTCATTCTGAGCGGCGGCGATGGCTTCTCGACCGAAAAGATTGCGCATCTCGTTTATTACCTTGAGATGGTGCGTGTTGATGCTCAGAAGCTCGCATACTCGCTCGTAAGGTTTCGTCAGGGAGCGTTCGTCGTGGGTTTCTTGCCCAGACTGCCTCGAGAGGTCGAGTTCCCTCAGTGCTTCATCAATTTCGTCCGTACCATTCTGTGTCCGTGGAGCAGCTTCCGCTTTGCTTGGGGTAGCTTCCGGCTTCTTTGCCTTCTTCTTTTTCTTCTTGCTCTTCTTGGACGAGCTCTTAGGCGTCTCGGCCCTTTCGGGTTCGACAACAGGGTTTGTGAAAACTTCTACTGGCTCCTCTTCCTTCTCGTCTTTATCATCATCATCCTGATCACCGAGCGCTGCAAATCCCGAGAATAAACTTGTCTTCGGCTTCTGGATAGGTCGGTCATCATCACTCGATTCGTCGTCATTAGCGGGGTTCTGCGCCTGGAGCTCTAGCAGCTCTTTCTGCTTTTGCAGCTTTCTCAGTTGTCTACTTGACATTTTATATGGTTGGGACGTGCTGCAGAATATTGTGCGAAGAATAGAGTCGAGAGAAGAGCGG